AGTTCTGTTTTTTTACTTTCTATTTTGTGCTTTTTAACAATCTAAGAGACAAAAGGTTGAAGTGCCATTGTTATAAACTCTTTTACACATTCTTATTCACTTGATGTAATCTTAGTGCCCTTTCTATGAAATCAAGCCAATCAGTCCATAGCACCCAACTCTAAATGGTATGTATCCATTCTTAGAACTGGTACAGGCAGCATTGATCAAGTTCTAAAAACTGACGCAAACCATTTGACAACTGGTTGCTCGAAACGATTAGTTTTACTTAATGGTAACCACCCTTAGATACAAGAGTAAGCTTGCTTTATAGAAATTTGAAGATTCATAACAATTTTATAAGTACAGTAGCAACCAAGACACAAGAAACCTGTAAAATCATGATTTTTCTTACTAATATTTGTTATATATTTTACTCACTGATCTCAATCCTACTTGTTCCAATGCATGAGAAAATTTTTTTTAATTTCATATTTAAATTATRAAAAAAACAAGAAAAATACTTAGCAATCCAAAATGTTTTTTCAGGTGTTATCAAATATTGAGCAACTGATGCTTCAAATGGAAAATCTTTCAGTGAAAATTTAATACAAATAATTATCACACAATGTAATAAACCTACACAATTGGTGTCCTCCTATTCAGTAATATTTCAATCCACTCCTTTGAGACAATTATTGCATCAATATCAAGCAACTACCTGCAGACATCTTGTAAAAACCTATAGCTATAATAGACTTTGCATTTATAATGAGCAACATTTGATAGAAAACTTTCTCAATTGACAAATAAAATACTTAATTGCCTTGAAGGTCGGTAATAAGCCTATACATCCCTCCGGCCTACGGACCTCGGGATGTACTGTATATGGCTTATTGCCTCCATTCTTGGTAATTAACTCTTACTTTTATGATGCAGAAAACCAATTACAGACTAACAAGAAAATGGTCATTATCAGTTTCTAAATTGTAGCAAATGTTGACCACAATTTATGAACAAATCAGGCAGTGGTGAATGATAGCATATTTATGCACTAATGCATAAATATTAGGCTCTAGTTCAATAGATCTGTTGTCTCTTCAATCTGGTTCAATAGTTACAGGCTAATCTTCAATATAAATTAGTCTCTAGTTCAATAGACCTTTTGTTTCTTCAATCTGGTTCAATAGTTACAGGCTAGTCTTCAATATATATTACTCTCTAGTTCAATAGAACTGTTGTGTCTTCAATCTGGTTCAATAGTTACAGGCTAATCTACAATATATATTATGTAGTCTCTAGTTAAATAGATCTGTTGTCTCTTTAATCTGGTTCAATAGTTACAGGCTAATTTTCAATATATTTTAGTCTGTAGTTCAATAGATCTGTTGTCTCTTCAATCTGGTTCAATAGATACARGCTAATCTTCAACGGAATAATCTTCATACCCGCCACAAAAAGCTTAGAGCAATAACGATGTATAAATCCATAAACAAGCCCACCCTGGCGTATTTGAATGTTGTTCCTCCCACATATAACTAAGTATGAGTTACTTAATCATGAAGGCAAACTAGTCCTACCCGCAATGCGCATCAGTTACCTAAAACAATCTTTCAGCTATAGTGGTGCCGATTACTCCAAGAAGTAAGAAGCACTGGTTCATTAGCTGATTTTAAAAGCAAACTGAGCCACGTTCAATTATAATTCTTCGGATTCGCACACRGTAATCTTGTAAAATAGTAACTTGATTTTTATTATGATATTTGACTGATGATTTTCCGTGTATAAATAAAGTCTTTATTTATTATTTATTGTCTACTTCAATAGATCTCTTTAATCAATAAATTAAACAATAAAGCAAGCTACTAGCTAAAGCTATAAAAAATATACTGTTCAGTACAGCATGATTGCTTACCCTCAAGTCTGTACTGTAGTTTGTCAATACACACACTAGGATTTTCTGTTCTAAATAATTAAAGACTTACCTTAATAAAGTGGCTGTGAGTGACATCTTCATGTTTGTGATTAAAGAACACACATACACTACACATTAACATTCACACAACACTAGCAACAAAAGTATGTTGTCAACAAAAATGTTCCCCTCCCCTCTATGGAGTAAAGAATGTGGACAGTTGGAGAAGCTTAATCACAATGCATTATTTCAAAAGTCACTAAATCATTTGAAGACTAGATGTGCCATGCTATACAAATGTATTATGATTTTTAGCCAGGTTTCAAGCCTTTTTTGGGAAAAAAATTGAATGTCACTTAAATAAAATGCAAAAATTAGCTCTCCTGTTCGGGTTGACTCACAATTTCTGTACATGTGCTTTAGTAGTTTTTTAATCAATAATTATTGCAGTACCACAGAAAAAGGGGCAATTAGCATTAGCATCATACTCCATAACAAAACAATAAATAATTATTTATCCAAGTTTTCATTTTGTACATAAAAAGCCAAAAATACAAGAAGAATTATGTCTTAGATAATGCTTCAATAAGACAACAACCAATTCATCTACTGTAACAGGTTCTCTGAATTAATATCAAAGAATTGAATATTCCTTGATTTCTTTTGAGAGCGAGAAGTTCTTTGACTCTTCCCTGTCAATGTTAGACTATAATTCCATACTTAGTGAGTATGCAAGCATTTGTTTTCTATATCAACATATTTGAAATACCAGCCTCAATAATCCAGAACATAATGAAACATTTTATAAGTAACTCACTAAATGTACATGAATCACTTTTCTACTGCTACCTTCTTATGTGTGCCATTCCTTTTGTGAATGGATTCCCTACTCAGGGTGATATATCACTGCAATAAAATTTAAAATAAAATGATAAATGACATAACATAGTACCATGAGCTAAATGGGGCTAGATATTGGGAGAGGAGAGGATACAGTATTTGACTCAATTTAGAAAACATGTTCCATAAATACTTGTAAGTACATGTAGTTTAGTTCAATTATGAATCGTATCAAACCATTATCTTTGTTTATAAGACCTCAAAAAATAAGTGAAGCAACGACTACATGTATTTATTAAAACTATTTCTTGCTTTGGTAAGTAATTAAATCTAATGAAAAATTTCTCCTTGCATTATGTATGTATAAGAAGAAGAGTAAGTAAAGACAAATAAACAACTTTTTTTTTGTTCCATGAAGGACTCGGAGGGGATTTACCCCTTGCATTAACTGAAAATCAATAATGATAAAAGAAAACATTTGATAAAGGAACCATGGACACAAAAATGCAGCTTTCAAAAAAAGAAACATGAATTTTTCAAGTAAATAAATTACATATTTCCAACATAATTTGAGTTTTCTTACTGTAGCAAAAAACATATATATACAGTAGTTGTACTACCCGAGTAGAAGAAAATTCAATAACGCAAGAATAAAATACAAATATATACTAATAAAAACAAAAACCTTAATACGAATCGAAGGTATATCATATCATTCATCAGGAATTACGGGCTAAACTTTGAGTATCTGTACATTTTCAGACTTTGGCAAACTTTTCTCTACACAACCAAAAAACGTGCACAAGAAAATGCATTATTACTCGACGAAAAACGACAGAAAGCACCAAAATTACACTTAAGAAGTAGGATATTAGCGTTTTTTCTTGATATCGGATGTTTTTATAGTCTTAAAGCTCTACTTACGGTATAAATTCGACAACATTTTGTCCACATTTTCACACCTTTACTCGTACGCCATGTTGCTTTCTYGTTCATATGAAGACCGGTGAGCATGATGGGTACACGTGATCGGGAAAAACAGGAACGGCGAAAGGATAACAAGGGCGATGGATTGTGCACTTGGAGCCTCAGTATATTGTTATGAATGATATATGAGAACAGCAATGCAGGAGCAATAATGGCAAAGCTAGGAATTACCTTTCCAATGTGTTTTTGCGCTCCAAAGTCTTTTGGCTTTAAATCTGCAGCGCGCGCTTAACATCATATGGGTTTTGCGTCGACATTGTGTTTGAATTTTTTTTTCTCAAAGAGGACAGTTAAGGAGGTAGCGTAAAAACTCTATTTACGTCCAGGAATCGTACCAGAGACCCCAAAGGTATCTCACCYTATAGACGCAGTGATACCACCTTAGGTTACTACAAATAAGTTGCAATACAAGATATGAGATAATACATAATACCCAAAATTATTTACTTGATAAGCGTTTTAATTTGAACTACAAAAATATATACGACAAAATAAGTCAATCAATCAACATCAGGASATTCATCAGTGTTGTTGGGCTCATCTTTCTTTTCTGCGTAGCATAAACGGCAACACCTCCACTTGGGTATATGATACACTTCACGCGTGTCGTTCTTCTTCACAACGATTCTCTTGAAAGAGTACTCACCAATCTGTTGGATGAGAAACAGTAGGAATAGTATATGCATACACCAAAAAACGTTGTTACTGTAGTTGGATATCTAAAAATCTAAATTCTGAGACCGAGGTACGCGCTTAAAATCATAATATTTTAAATGCCGAACAACCTAGTTCCATTCTTTCTTTTTTTTTTTTTTAATGTTTATAAACATTTTAGATTAGAATAAAAAGCATGAGCTATGAGTTTAAAGAAATGTGTTTTTTCCCCCTCGTATTTTAGTCTCCAACGCCAATTTTTGCCAATTTTAAATAGGTTGCGCTTCTATGTCATGGTACGTGACGCATTGAGCTCAAAATTTGGTGCAACAGGTTGGCGTGAAAGTTGTTATGGGACGAATTGCACTGTGTATAATGCTCAGTTGTAAACCATTTTTAGGCGGAAAAAAAAACTAAGAGTAAAAATTCGGTTAAATAACAAAGGTTAAAACATGGCTGCCTCATGAGGAAGATATTTTCAGCTGCGTACCTGTGTACATCCCACGTTAAAATCATAACGACCCACTCCAATTGGCTCCTGATCTTCATAATTTCCTTCAAATTCATATTGAGTTGTTGTAATCTTGCCTTTGCCACCAAAACCGCCATTCACCCAGTTACCTACGAAAAGTTTCGACTTCATTATTTTACTTGATTAAAATAATTCTTATCGATATTTATGGAGTATAATAACCGGCCAATTACATAGAATTATCGGGAGCTCTAGCAAAATAAAATTTCTGCAAGTAAAACGCTGATGTTGATCACTCGAGTCTCCGTCACGCGCAAAAGTAAGCATTGACTCTTTGCACGAAAAAAGGTAGATTTCTGAATGGCAGGTGGACGGCACACATGTCGCTGACTGAAATTCTCCAGCCAATCAGAGCGCACAAGGTCACCTGACTGAAATTCTCCAGCCAATCAGAGCGCACAAGGTCACGACACGGTCACTACATGACATGGTGGTCACGGCGAGTCGTGGTCACGGCACGTCCGATCCACCGTGTGCCTAGATCACAACCATGAGAAATTAGCTCGGAAAATGGTAAACTTGTGGTAAGTTTGTGTCAAATATTTTAGTCTTTTCGATACCCTGAAACAGCCCATGGGCAGCTGATCTAAGTCAATTCGTGGATAACTCACAGGTCGCATCGGAATTTAGCTTGTTAAGGTTTGAGGAGAAAGGAAAACTGGAGAACCAGCGAAGGAAAAGATTTCTGGATTGAAAACGAGATCTAGATAACTCTACTAACGAAAGGTGTCGAGCCAAGGTATCCAAYCTGAGAACCCAGGGGTGGGAGGCGAGAACACGCTTCTCCACCCTTGATTCCCAAGGGCTTATATCATGACTGATTTCCTACTCACCATTGTACTTGATTTGTTTTCCTTTGTAAATATACTCTCCTTTCCCGTTTCTCTTGTCGTCTTTCCACATGCCATGGTAGACATCACCATTTGGATAGACATACCGTCCTTTCCCTGATCGAGCTCCATCTTTCCATTCACCTTGGTAAACAGATCCATCAGGGTAAAGGAAGGTGCCATTTCCTTGCCTCTTGCCTTCGAAATAATCGCCAATATAACTATTGAAAAAAATACCAACGTTAGTAGACTTGAATCGATTGAAAGTCAGATGTGAAAGGATGTAGATGCCAATCGAATGGGGGGGGGGGGTGCTCTAAGTAAAAAGTAATATAACTTTTTAAAATCTCGCGCGCTTTTTTTTTTCTTGCGAGGGAGCGCGTTGCGAGACAACATGACGCACGCGCACTTTCTATTTTTGTCATTTATATATCCAAATAATAACAGATATTCTAACTCATAAAGAATTATAAAATACCTGCACACAGCAAGGGGGCACTCGTTTTCTATTTAAAACTCGCGCGCTTCGTGTGAAGTGTGCACTTATAATCAGCAGCTATGCGTCTTACTTCTCCTAACACTTCTCTTATGTTCAGCCATACAAGCAGCGTACTTTATGACTGCAAACAGCAAGCGCCTGCGTTTTTTATTTCTTCAAAAATTAATAATCCTTTACCACGCGGCAGTCATGTTGGCTGGACCTACGGCAGCGACAATAGTATAGCACTCCAACGTGCGACGTATATGCTTTCAGCGTTCAGTGGAGGCAATTAAAAAAACATTAACTTTCTGATCATATAGAGTCCAAATCACTGACAGTCAACTGTTTATTCTAGTGACGTCATAGAAACTTGTGACGACAAATGTGATGTCATAAGCACATTGTTACCTAAACATTCAACAATGGTTTTTTWTTTGTTTCCTTTTAAGAACATTCTATTTTTGAACAAGTCAATTTGCTTTACCAGGAGTTYCCTTCTATAAAATCACATTTTGCTTTCACGAAATGCGTTGAAAAATGCAAACTAATTAATTACAAGTAACCATTCTTGCGCGCGCCTAATGTTAGTTTACTCGCGCGCGCACCAAAAACAATATTAAATCTATTGAAGAAATTTAACAAAAAAAACAAAATACAAGATGCGCCAAATAAAAAGAGTCTCAAGAAAAATTAAACATCACCCACCTTGCACCATTAATAAATTTATATTTTCCCTTTCCGTGTCTTTTTCCATCCTTGTACTCTCCTTCATAGACGTCTCCTCCAGGCAAAATTGCTCTCCCTACTCCATGCCTTTCGTCATTTTCATTCCTGTCCCCATCGTACCTTCCCAAATCTTGCTCGTCTTCAGCAGAATCTGTTTCCAACCAATTGCCTCCGAGAGAAAACATTTGAAATGCCTATAAAAGTTTAGATTCTGGAATCTAGCTTATGAATGATTTTTCGTTCTTATGTGAAATGGAACGTTCTTCGAATCTGGATTAATGAATGTTAATTTTCCTTTGTGATGTCATAACGTTTGAATTGCGGAATTGCGCAAAGGATCAACAATTAGAAGCAATCATTAGAAACGTTTTTTTGTATATGGATGTGCAAACGCGGTATGGTTATTATCACGGCACGGCAACACTGTGCGCATCAATCCTAACGATGTGAACAGGAATTTGCGCGCAAGCAAAGTGCAAGATGGCACGGTGTGTACAACCCTGTGAAGTGTTCTACTTTTGCGACGTCCCACGCACGTAACGTAGGGTGGCGAAACAAGTTGGCAGCGTCGCATTGTATGCCTGGCCTTTAACAAATCATTATTCTTTTTCTTAAAAGGAGTTTGCAGTCAATCCCAATTGCCGTCATGTTGATTGGTACTACCAATGAATCCAATCCTTTCATGGGTGGAATCAACATGGCGGTTGTGAAAAGTAATCAGCGATCAAGTAGATGGATTGAAATTTTGACGCAATTTCACTAAATACAGAATAACAAACCTAATTTAAAAAGACTGAAGTAAAAAACAAAAATTGAGACTTGCTTAGCTTTCATGTTGTGACTTCTAATAAATTGCGGTTTATTAAGGTATTAGGACCACTATGCGCGCAAACTTAAATAACGCGCTGGCTTTATTGTATAACACAAACAAAGTATACATTTTCTGAGAGCTGAGTAAGCATATTTTATGAAGAAATCTTCAAAATACGATTTTTTTAAATTGTTGTTTACATTATTGTCCTTGAAGCGAAATTTGAAATTTGAACAGAAAAAGTTGTGTATTACTGAAGTCAAGCTAATGTAGACGTCATTTTAGCTTTCATAGATCTGAATGGCCCTCTAGGCTTGGCAACCATTAGCCATAACTATCATTATCACACACGATAACATGTCCTCAGGTCCAACAATAACATCATGAAAAAAACACCCCATCACGTCTCTAGYTTACATTCGCTTTATTCTTATGTCCCAAGTGGGTACCAAGAGGTATCAAGGTTTGCGCAGCAGTAGTACTCTCGTCTCTCATCTGGGGTCTCGGGTTTGATTTCCATACCTGGCTTTACATGTGGCTAGAGTTTGTTGTGTCGCTCCCTAAATTCCAGGGTATTTGTCAAAGTTTTCCGATTTTTCTCCGCCCGCAAAACCTATCTCTCTAAATTTTCCAATTCGGTCTGTGAATTAGCGGTGGCCTGACTTTGATCAACCCAGAGGTTGTTCCAGGGTATCGATAAGATTTGAAGCTTTATCAAGCATTCATAGCCACATATATTATCGATATTCATCATAGATTTATCTTAGAACACACATTTGAGATCCTACTTCCCGCACAGATAACATGGGGAAAAGATGCTCTGTGGTTCGTACAGGTCAAATTCAAGTGAACAGTTTTGGGAACTCGCCAGCGCTTACCTTAGAAATAGCTCTATTTTTCTTCTCAGATAATTATGCTTGCTGCCAATCCCCAAAACCCACAAACTGAATACTGTAAACTATTTTTGTAGAGGGCATCTTAGAACAAAGGGCTCCTTTCGTATTTACTCTGGGCGTAATCGTTTCACATTTCAAACCACGTGTTATTCTTTTGAGAATAAGATTCTTTGTTGAGTTGCATCCATACTGATATTTCTTTAGGAACTTTTCCAAGGGAAAAAGAAATGATGCTCCCGTGTGTTGAGTGGCACTCAAACGCGGGAAACACTTTGCCACCTTGGCTATGGACACGAGSAAAGTTAGATTGAGAGCTGTCTAATAGTAAGAATCCCAACTCGACTGAGTGTGGAGGGAAAAGAGAGAGTTTAAACATGCTAGGTTTGTTGCTTAAGGTGTGATGATAGCTCTGCTATAAGGAATGGACAATTAGATAATTGGGGAAATGGGGTGTGTAGGAAGCTATGTTGCGCGAAATTTTTGTTGTTGTAACAACCTCTTCAGTGCATGCAATTTTTGTTGCATTTGCTCGATATTTCTTTACTAATGGAGAGGCTTACGCAATTCAGGATTTACGCAGCCCCCTAGATTAAGGGCTCTGTTATGATTGTCCCACGCTTTGATACAACAGCCAAAGCTAATTGTATATCATACCTTTACGCCTTTAACAAAATGTGGCTTGCTTGGTTACTTTGCCTTTCTTGGCAAGACTAGCTGCATGAACCGATGTCAACATCTTTCTATTCATGTAGCTTCAGCTCTTTAACTGGCGAAACGTGTGTCAGTGCGCATATCTTAATTATGGACACTTACTAGCTTAACTTAATAGTAAGTACTGTTTAGCAATATTAGTCATCTAGCCAAATGGGTATGAGTCAATAGCCCATAAGACCGAAGGCCGACCGGGTTGACTCATAAGCCATTCGGACTCCAGGACTACTGAATCGTTTTAGTTAAATCCAACTAGTCAATCAAATATATAGATGCAAAGTTTTGAATAAACCTCAGTACTCGACAAGGTTGCGGAGCAGTGAAAACATTAATGTCATTTGTCTTCCATACACAACTATTTCAAAAAACGTTGTCGGTCTGAGATCTAAGATGAAAACTGAGACTGATATTCGTACTTTTATGTTATGTTATCAAAAACGCAAAGGCCTTGCTTTATGTTCTAATACAARGAAACTACGTTGTTCGATAATCCGTATATTTATGTTTCAGAGCGTGTTACTTTGCCCTCAGATTTCAGATGAGCCAACCGTTTATTGAAATAGTCATACGCGGTATTATCGTAGTTCCTGCTTCATCCTTTGATTTTTGTTACACTTATGAAACTTATTGATAAATAAAATTTTTGTGTGGTTGTACACTAGTATGTTGGAAATTGTAAAATAATCTGTTAGTCTAACTGATTCTATCYTTTTCTGTTAGTCTTTCATGCGTAAAGAATTCCAGAATTGGTTAAACATTGTAAGGGAAATGTTGAAATTTTTATTTGATGATTGCTTCTTTTGTACGAAAATGTTTATTAGAGAGTACAGACGTTCAATACAAATGCTATATGTTATACAAATACAACTTTTGGACTCCTTAATTTTTTATGCCTCTAGGCATATCGACCTCCCATCCATTTTGTGTTATTGTTGCAGCCACGTAGTTTACGTACAGTATTTGGTAATGTTGTCAAGCAGTTGGTATTGATGGGTTGCAAGCATTCATTGCCAAGAGAGTTAAAAGACAAAAGCATGGCGGTCAATGTGGTGCCGAAATCTTTTGTTAAATGGCATCAACATGGGCAAACGTTTCGACTAGCGATACTTTGCTGATGATAGCTTTCTTGGGGATGATGGTAAATGTCTACTCATTGATTATCAGCTATCAACGGCAAGCTCAAAAATTTCAATAAGCCGTTGGGTTGTAAGTGTTACCAATTTGTCTAAGAGGAGACTCAGACAAGAAACGCTAGCAGTGTAAGGGTTATCTATTCAGTAATACAATGTTGGTTTGGTTCAACGGTTTGGCGAATTATTTATAAACGCTCTATCCGATCCGCCCTAGCCTGCGTGATTGCTAACCATTGCCGGACTGGACGCGCCCTCACACATGGCAGCCCCTCGGATTAAACCATTATAGTCTAGACAAGTTTCAAGTAGATGAAATTTTGAAGACAGATTATGCCTTTATTACTTACGACGTCACAAACACTCTTACTGTCTTTTCAGCTTTTTTCCACAATCCTCCTTTAACCACAAGACGTGCCACTAACTTTGGCGTAACACTATAGTGAACCTCTCGCACGGATCCCAAAAGTAATCTTTGATACCTACAAAACGAGACGTCACGAGACCAACGCCTTTATCTAGTTTTGTCACGCAAAGCATTCAATCAATCAATAATCGATTTTYATTCACACACAATATTTAAAATTTTTTGTTTACATTACTAGTTTAGAAAATTTATTTGACAAGGGAAAAACGTAATAATGAAGAATAATGTGTTTGTGGTTGTTGAAGTAGTTAAGAACTTTCGAGTCACTCGGATAAAATAAAACAAGTTCAGTGTACAACGCGCAGTTTGTAAGATATCTATTGTAGCTTTTAATCCATTTGATGTGTTCATTAGCCAAGATGAACACACCCCTTTCTTTAAAATTTAATAGGAACGCCCGCATCAGTATGAACTTTGTAATGATACAGAGCGGCCCTTTAGAAATTGCCAGGTTAATATTAGCTGATAAAAGGATGATTTTCCTCCTATTTCAAATTTTATACTCCACGCTCGTTGTTTTTCAGATAATGAGGAAATATTAAAAATAGGGCTTATCTCTAATGATAACGGAAGCGTTGAGGCCATGATGGTTTTCCACAGCGTATCAGAGCTCCGGCCGTGCCCCGCACTAGCTCTCTTGCGCGTGACGGGAAGAAAGAGTGGAATAGGGGGGCGAATATACGTCTTTTCTGCTTAGCTGTATTTCTTATGCACGGGATAAAACGAAATACAAGAAGGTTTTGTTATCCCATTCCAAGCCACGCGCTATTTCCCATAATTTCTCTATTCACATCATATGCAAGTTTTTGATCGTAAATCATCCGACGCCGTGCATGCTAAAATATCAATCTACCAGAGGTGAGGCTGGATCCGCCTTTTTGAAGTTCTGCCGCCGTGCCATCATTTAAAGTACTACACTTAAATTAAAAGCTTGCATTTCATCACCAGCACTGAATCCAACTTCGTTTACTCCGGCCCATAGTTTGGGATATAAATCAGTTTTTTCGAGTTTTTAGATGTTCTCGCATAATATCAATAGTTTTTCAAAGACTGCGATCGTAAACCGACAGATGCAAAAAAAAAAAAAAAAAAAAAAAAAAAAAGTAAAAAAAAAAAAAAAAAAAAAAAAAAAAAAAAAAAAGTCACTCATAAAGATAAAAGACTACATTTTTAGACCTTGATTGAGAATTGGATTATGGCGTAGTCAAGAGGTTATCTAGGGCATGATCTATCAGGAAAAGCCAGAGAGCASGCATACGATAGCAAACTAAGTTTGACAATTTGCCAGTTCTCGACCCCTTTGGGTTTTCCTCGCATAATTTCAACACTTTATCACAGTACTGCGGTCGTACACAGATCGGTGTTGTTCAAAAGAGATGACTCAGTAAAGATGAAAGACTCGTGCAACATAAATTCGTGCAACCTCCCCCTCAATTATCTAAGGTTCCGCCCAAAACTATTAGTATCATTGGTGTTTAAAACACGCCTTGTTGCACGAAACGTTTTATCAATATCAAGTACCAATCACACAGAATGACAGAGAGGCATTGCTCTTGTTTGATGCACGCCTGTGCACCTTGTCAAGCACTGCTTGACCCAGCATGAAATGGCAATTCTGTCCACTCCTCCAATCCTGCATTACTTAACTTGATATAGTTCTACCAATCAATGACGGGGCCCACCTTTATCCGTATAATGCGTGTTCTGTTCTTTACAACAACAGTATTGCTGGTATCTAATGCACGCCTCTTTGCACGGAAGTCTTATCAATGTCAACTACTGAGGATCGCGCCGCACACGTTTCAGATGTTCGATCTCAAATGATTGATAAACTTTCTCTTAAAAGTACCGAGCAAAAAGAAAGAATGCGTACAAGAAATCTCGCTTGTATGAGTTTCTTCRCCGCGGCCATCTTCGAGGTACATGAAAATGGGGTTTTCAAATGCTTTGCTCGCTAATGCCATCAACATGGCGACAATGGTTCTCTTGTGAACGCTCGTGAACACTTACGGATAAAAATCACGCACGGAGGTCTTTCAAACCAATTTACTTATTGTTAGACYTTTTCACTCTTAGACAAACGTGTCAAGGCAGTTAGCTGTTCTAAAGATAACACTTATAAGGGCAATCAATGGGTCAAGGAAGGGGTCCCTTGTGATGCCATTGTCGGAATATTTCATTCGCGCGCGCGTTCAAACACTCTTATATATAGTTCATTTTTGTATAGGATCTTGCTTTTGAGTTTCTAACTCCGATCTCTTACGATCTTTAGCGGAAACTCACGAAAATATTTAAAGCAATACGCGCGCTCTGATTGGTCGAAAAATATTTCTATGATTCTACAGCGAGGCACATTTCATCCATTAACTCTCAACAAGATAAACAAACGTAAAAGGAGAATAAAACAGCCACTTATGAATATTTAAGTACTGTGATATCAACAGTATAGAGAGTACTCGAGACGTTACGAAAACATGCACTCAACGATGTTTTGTAGTGAAATGCTCTTCTATTCTGCACTTTACAACGAAAACCACACGCGCGCCATGCAGTTCTCTAGCTAAACCCTGTAGAATAAATTGTAAATATAACTGATGTAATTCAGCTTCTGCTCGAAGATAAATATGTTGGCTATCTTTGGTTTCATTTTGGTTATTTATCTTTCATTTCCTTTTATTTTGTTTCCTTTCGTTTCGTTTAATTTCCTCTCCTCTCCTTTATTTTCATTTCATTTTATTTCATTTCCTGGTTTCGTTTCATTCTTTTCCCTTTCGTTTCGTTTCATTTCCTGTCGTTTATTACCTTTTCCTTTTGTCTCCTATCCTAGCCTTCCCCGTTAGTTTAAGAAAATAAAAATAAAAATAAAATGGTTCTAAGTTCTACGCGCTCTATGATTCTGACGTTTTAACGACGTGTTTACTTCGAGGCTAAAAGATAAAGTTCTCACCTCCATAACAACAAATCGTTGAAATTAAAAAATAAAAAATAATAACAATAATAAAATAACAAATATATATATATAAACGCGCAAGGATTTGAAACGTGTCATGCGGTTTAACCAATATGAAGGACTGTTTCAGTTGAACGTGGATTTTCAGTTCTAAAAGAGATCGACTTATCCCCACAAGGGTTCGATTGTGGTCGACCCTCAGACCAATAAATCAGCATCAATATCAAGGGAGTAACCGCAGTCTAATGTGTGAAGTTATTTAAGTCCAAATTAATCGAGAGATTTTTCGCGGTTGACCAAAAGTGTGCGGTCAAAAGTCGCTTGACAATCACCTTGTCTGGTCGAGAAGAGTTGTAGAAATAGTAATAGAAGATTGCTTTACACTTAAATAATTTCAAAGTGGCGAGTGAAAAAAGGAGAAAACATTAGTCAGAGACTASGAAGAACTACTTATTTTTCTTTGAATTTATTAAATCAAAAACTCTAGCTAAATTCCAAGACTCGTCCTTAAATCTGTTAACGTTAATTCACGTTCGTGCAGCAAAGGTTCGTCTTATCGCATCAGTGATAGAATCACTTCACTCTTATGAAGACGCTGTGTTGAAATATAGAAAAATATCGGCGCCAAATGCATCATGGTCCGATTCCTAAATTAGCTATATTATTTTTCTTGGAATTAATTAGAATATTTTCTACCAAGAATCACAATTCCTTATACTTTGCGAAATTTACTGAGAATTTCTCGGTTTTTTTTAGCTATTTCCGAAGAAAACGGAGCGCTTGTTTACGGGTAACAAATAGAGCTAAGAACATAAAGTTATCTAAGGTCATATTCCATGTTCTGATTCGAGCCTAAGGGGAATGCGAAGACAAAGGGTTATTTTCCCAAACGACGGTTGAAAACATTGTAAAATGAGACTCTTATGTCTCAGTGCACTGAACGACGACAACTTTGCTGTAATGGTGCATTCATAGGGAAGGGGGCCGGAGGAATTATTAGGGGAGGGGGGGAGTAAAATATTTGTTTTTTTCCCCCCTGGTAATAACCTTGTATTTTTTTCAGATAGGCATTGGGGTGCATTTTAAAATTTCAAAATAAGGGCGGCGGAAGGAGGGAGTCCCTCCCTGTTCAAAACTAAGCCAGTTGGGCTTGAGCAAGTTGGGCACATATTCTAACAGTTGTTCCTGCCGACCCCTCCTCCTTCAAAAAATATTAATGCTCCCGGAATAGACTTTTTAACTTGATGCTAACAGAAGAGGCCTTTTTACCTTGCTTTACCTTGAGCGTAATGACTTCCCATTTGCACTATTCCTATGCTTTGTTGATCTTGTATCATTTATGTGCCTTCTTTATGCAACCGTTAAACAAAGAAATGATACTCTAGGGAGTGACATGTGGTCTGAAATGGAAAAACAATACGCCCAAATTAAAGAGGGCTTTTGAGTCTATAAGTTATATTGTTCTTTTGATCAATACTTTTGATGGGCACTTGAGTAAGTACGTTCTAAAAAAGTGCTGTATTTATGACCAATAGATAAACAGGACTAAGGGATAAAAAATGGAGTTAAGTATGCAAATGCTCTTATGGAAATATATTTTTATTCATAACCGTAACGTCGTGATTTAGTTTTAAAAAATTGGTTATTTTCTGTTATGTTTTTTATCTTTTAACGTTACGATTACAGTTTAAAGCCAAAAAAGCTATTATTATTGTCATTATCATCATCATCATCATCAACATTATCATGATTATTATTATCTTTTTAATATTATCATTAACATCATCATGAATTATAAATTAAGAAAAAAATGCTATATATATGTATAATTATTACTATAGTATACGTATTACTGTTGTCAATAATAATATTATTATTACAACAAAATATAATATATTTATTTAATGCTATAATAAAGTTTACATTATTATTATAGTATGATTATAATAATATTATTATTAGAACAAAATAAAATAAAATATATTCATTYGTTAATCAATTAGTTTTACTATTCCAAGACCCCAGTTCTTTTGGATTTTTTTAACGATAATGGCATCCCTCTCCACCACTCAGCCAGTTATTTGATATTGTTTTTTCTTGGTCGGTTTTCCTATTTTATCTGATGCCCCAAAGCTCCTTGCATGCATATTTCAGATTTCTCAATGCTGGTCACGATTGTCTCACCAAACTGTAATCAACACAAGCCCAGTCCCAACAGACTAAAAATATCAAACTACTTCTCTAATAAATAGCCTCTTGTGGTCTACAAAACATGGAAAACCCAATCTGCGTCTAATAGTTTGATATTCCGGGGACCGAAAACCGCTTATTGACCTCCTTATGAGCTTATTGACCCCGTCTAGGCTCTGATATCCGATGCGGCCGTTGGATTCTGGATTTCTCCTTTTTTGCGTCAAACTTGATCATGATTTGTCCATTCATTTTAGTGCCTCGTTTTCAGCGAGACAAAATGTGACGGTGTTGGGGAGGGACGCCTCCAACTGTCATGTTTTGAAGAATTTTAGCGAAAGATCGACCGGCGGCAAATACAGTGGTCACATTATGTTGAGCTGGTGTTGATCAAGGCTCATATCTAGCTCGTGTTTAGAGCTTCATCATACACAACCAGGCACACTGAGATGATCAGCAAGGAGATCGTGATTTCATGGTTTAAGGGGCTTTCTGGAGATGATCGTATCGATTTAATGTGCCTTTTGGTTGACTACTGCCTTCCCTCCGAACTTCGCTTCATCGGCACTTATCTGGAAGCCGCGGCACAGAAGGATTACTATGGCTTTCGGACATACGAGAGCGCAGCTAATAACCCAACAGATCTAAGTTATATGTATCTTTTAGAAGATCCGATCATTCGCAGGAGACTTTGTTTGTACATTGCTCTTTTGCATTCGAGCAATCGACAAGCCGCGGCGGTATTATTTGGAATACTCAACGACTTCCATCCCTCAGGCCTTCTGGACGAAGAGGTTTTGACGGAACTATCGCTTCTTTATACCCTGACCTCCAATCATCCAGCGTTTTCATTTCATCAGAAACATGTACTGCGATCGAAGCTCAAGGTTTTACGAATGCAGTCAGTTACTACCACTTCAGACCTTGGAGAGGTATATTATAATTTTTTAAACGGTTCGAAATGAATGAGAAATGTAAATCTTGCCATTTAAAAACCTATCTTTAATTTTATGTTTACTGAATGACATTTCAATTTATGTTTTTACTGAATGACATTTCAATTTATGTTTTTGACTTTTGAGGGTTTTTACTGTGTTCGATTTTAGATCTGCCAGTCTTAGAAATATTTTCTCACTTTTCTCTTTATAAGCCAGATCTGTCAGTGTATGATCGCTTATACTTTGTAACTTATGTGAAATGTATTTCGAATTTCGAACGTTCGATCGTGGAGGTTTATTAATCAAAATGTTTTGTTTTGTTTTTATCTAGACCGTGTCAGACTGCAGTACTGGTAGTTCTCCCTTTTTACTCGACGCTGAATCACAATCATTTTCCCCGGCCGAGAGCCCTGTTTCTTCAAACTCGTCTGGTCTCGATACAAACGAAGATGAAGAACTAGAGGTGGTGGAACCCGCAAAATCAGAGGAGAAGAAGGAAGAGTTACCCGCGATTCCAGAAAATCCCCCCAAAGGTAAGATCCTCTTTGCATGACCAGTCCGTGTATTGCATGTTTATCGTGATGGAATAATAGTCTCCATATATCATCGCGTTACAATTTTTGACAATGAAGTCAGAACGAACCTAACCAAACCATATTTATTTTCCATAGTTTTATTATTTTTATTCTTATATCTCGAGATTATCTAAGTATGTTTTGCCTAACGTTCTCGGCTGTGAATACCTCTCGCGAAGCCTCTCGCAGTTTCCAGATGCCGGCATTTTAATGGCTTGTCTGTTTTCGCATTTAAGATTTGTAGTGTATGTTTTCTGTGTAAATATGAATAGCAAGCCTCGTATGTGGTAAGAGCTTAAAGCTAGAGGAGAACCCGCTTGGTAACGTGAGACAATTTATCTCTGTGTGAGATGACGTTCGTCTGCGTGTTTAAAGAAAGATTCATTTCTACTCATAACTCCACCTACGTCCTTCTATCGTGTCAGCAAGGGGGAAATCCAAATTTCATATCCGATTTATAATCGTCTCAGAGACAAATTCTCCTAATGTTTGCAATTTATGACAGGGATTGAATCTACGAAATTTATAAACCCGAAATTCACTTTCGTTAAATTAATTAATATCGATCTTCGTAATTACATGTAAATTATTTATATTGTTAGCTATGTGAAATTTTATCAAAAACGGCTTCCAGAAAAAATATATCCAAAGAATTACAGAATTTTCTTCCTTATTTATTGGAACTAAAATATATTTAAAAGAAAGAGAGAGAGAGAGAGAGAGAGTAAAATCAAACGCTATGTGAGGTAGCTATGGCTTTGAGCATTATTGACACAATCCTACAGTTTTTTGGCTTCAAGAAGGTGTAATAAATTGCATAGTGACCTATCGCTCCGAAAATTGAAAAGGTCATTTCATCACGGGATCATTTTACTTCATGCGATCGACAATAATTCTTTGTTTGTAAAATAAATCTTTAAGTGTTTTTAGTAAAAGGTTTCTGAGAAGTGGTCATTGTCTTCTCTAAATACTAAAGCGCCTCAAGGTGTTAACAGCTGGGACAACTATCTGAGTTTTTGAATAAAAGTTTGTTTGTTTAAATAAGTTTAAGCAGTTCCTGTAAGAAACATATTTAATGAGTCATTATTTCATCATTAAAAGAGTTTTTAGGTTTTTATTTAGTATTATGAGTATTTGCATGACTTGCAGATGCATTAAGTAATGCAAGCAGATGTAAATGCAATGGTCTGCTATTTTTATGCTTTGTTTATACCTTAAATGATTATTTGAAGCAGTTATGTGACCTAATAACAAAAGAAAGACACAAATAAGAACTTCAGGAAATTGCTGTTACATCATTGAGTAAATAGATCCTTTTCTGTCAGATAAGAGATAAAAGTGCATTATTTCTTATCACAGAATTCTAATCACCCCAAGGCTTGATTGCCTACAACATGTTTTGAACAAGTTCTAGTTTTTCTGCTTCTCAATTCTACCTCATAAAAAACGTAAGCAAAATTCTAGACAGTGCAGTATCAATAGTTTTATTACAGTCATTGAACRCTTGTCTGAACACCAGGGCAGGCAACTCCCCAGTACAGGACACCAACAGTGGAACTCTTATTATTGGAGAAATAGATACTTTGGAATGTGCTGAGAAGAGGTTATCCTGTCTGTCCTGGGAAATATGAAAAGTTAAGGTCTTGGATTACAGTCTATGAAAACAGTACTTTTTATCAATTGAATGTCAGAATGGCTAAAAGTACTTTAGAGTTTATCATTTTCTAAAATGATTATCTGTTGGGATACAGTTTGATGGCAAAAGCATTGTAAGAAGTTTACATACCATAGTGAATATAAAGTGAAATATTAAAATCAATCAATGACATGATATCTATATACCAGTGTAGTACAAGGATAGAGAAACAATAAAAAACCATACTCCAGTTTCAAGTTCCCTGTTRCCAAGGGTTACCATCAGTTTTGTGTCAAATATTCAAATATTTCACGTGTGAAGGTCCATGGAATTTCAAAGTTTTTTATTGTTGAAGTCATGCATTCTTTTAATTTGCCAAAAACATTTTTGATGCTGAAATAAGGCTCCGCTTTAAGTTATGTTATGTTAGGCCCCGTCCACACTATGCCGAATAAATTTGAATCTGAATTTTTATTTATTCAGTTCCATTTCGAAAATTCGTTTTTCGGTGAAGAATTGTTCCGGATTCGCCCAAACTAGTGTGGGCGGTAGGCCTAACTGAATAAATAAAAATTTGGATTCAAATTTATCCGGTATAGTGTGGACGGGGCCTTAGTTTATAAATATTTCCAAATTATTTGTTAATGACTATGACGTAACTTAAGGGATTTGAGTTATTTTGTGGCAACTTTTAATATTGAACACTGGGAATGTTTTGAAAACAAATTTGCAAGAACCTTTATGTGATCACAAGTAAAAGCGCGATGCTTTTGAAATACTGTAATCCAGAACAAGAGCAGTGTTGTATATTAAATGATCCCTTATGTCATTTCATAGTCATTAACATATTGGGAATATAAACCTTCGTATCTTAAAGACGCGATCCTCAAATATCAAAATATTCTCACAAACAAGTATTCACTATTTAAAGAATCAATTCTGAAAATATTATGTCAAGGCTTATAAGCACTTTAAGAATGGTACATTGTTGAAGAAATCTTATATGTTGAAGTAATCTTCTTATATGTTGCAGTATTATATAAATGCTGAAGTATCTATTATATAGCTTTGAGCAGCTGTGTTGCATTAGTACTCATTTCATTTTACTACTAAATTTTCTCACACATTTTCATTGGTTAATCTTATAAGTGAATTAAGCATGATGATGACAGTTGAACAAATCTATTCTCAAAAGGTTTCTGTCTTTTAGCCAGGTCTTAGTTATCTTGTCATATTTGTAATGAGCCATAAGCTAATTAATTGCACAAAAATATACACTTTGGTGTCAAAAGATGATAGAATGATACCTATGTGTTACAGGGACAGATCCAGGGGAGGGGTGCAGGGGGTGCACACCCCTCCCTGGTTCGACTTTGTGCCCCTACTTCAAAGATAACCAATTTTGTATTTTTCCTTTGATTCTAAGGGGTGCACCCCTCCCTGGGTTACTTTTGTGCACAGCACCCCTCCCTGAATAAAATCCTGGATCCACCCCTGTGTTATAAGCAATATAACTAAAGCTGAGAAATCCATGTCCAAAATCTCAGGAATGTTTTAAGAAGGCCATATAAAGAGTAGCAAATGCAAAGGAACTACACAACAGAGCAAGTGAGAATGTTTAGTGCAGCAGGTTCTGAGTTATCTAGTGCTTATCCTGCTGCACCAAGTTACACCAATGTAGTGTTTCTATATGTCTCTGTTAACAACCTCTTCAACGTGTAATTCCATCTGTACAGATTTCAGCAGGGTCAGAGGTATGAATACCTTGCAACACTTTTCATTGCTTCTTCTATATAAGGCTGTTTCTAATGGTATATTCTCACATCTCAGCCCTTGGTTTGTAACTCTACAATATCTCAAAAGTCTACAATTTTAAAACAAACAGTCAATAGAATTAAAAATGTTTACAACTGGTTAACATATGGAATTTGTGTACATTAAGGAATTAGAGGATTAGTTTCTAATTGAACATGTGATCCTGCAGATTGATCAACTATAAATGATGTCTCCAACTGTGAACAAAGACAAACTTCCTAAAAAAAAAGAATCTCCATTTGTGAATGACACTTATTTTATATGAAGCAGTGCAAGTTGTGTTAACTTCAGAGCTAGTTAATAGTTCTTTGATCTTTGTATCATAACTGTAATATTTTGATAGTTTTTAGTAGAATAGTTAAAGTTATCATTCTAGTATGTTCTGTCTGTCTATATGACACTTTGTTTGATCTAGACACACTCTATCGTGATACCTTCCTGATTTGACTTAAACCTGTTAGCACTAATCACTTTCTAGAAAAGTATAAAACAACAATTTCTGAATAACAAACCCAGCTTTCGCTAAAAATGGTAAGAATTTGAAATCTAATTCTAATTTAATTAAGATATAGGAATAGATAGCAGAGATACACTATGACATCTATTGCCCATATGCTTATTATCATCTACATCAGAAAAAATTTGATTGTTTTCCAGCAGAGAGCTCCTTGGGGTGCAATAGGGAATATTCTTGAAATTTTCTTGAAAAAATTCAAAAATTCCTCACGTCTGACAGGGTGCTGTGAGAGTGGATACCCATTATGTTACTATGAGTTATTGTAACGAAAAATATGTAAACGATTTCAATACACTTTTTAAATATTGCTTGAGATTGCTTGGTTTGTTGTGATGTACTTTACTTCCGTTATAAATTAAATCTAACTTCCGCTCAATTTGACTTCCGGTTTTCGAGTGTTTTTTTTTTTTT